TATTCAAACTTTCCTACAGCTCTTAAAAATCGATTACGATTGTATAGCAATTTATATGTTTATATGTTTGTTACGCTACACCATAACTTATCATTGACCAGTTTGATATGCAAGAAAAACAGAATTATTATAAAAGGAAACCTTACAAATCTAAAAAAATTATTTTTCTTTGTATAATCTCGACCGGCAGTTTTACCAACACATTCGAGATCATCTGAATCGTACTTTGGGTATATATGTTGAAGCGCTTATAATCCATAACTTTAGACAATGTCAAAAACGCATTGTCAATAACCGCAAACTCATTGGAAAATGATCACCTCTTATTCGATACCAGTGAGATTTGAACATTAAATTTCTGATTTTTAATAGGAAACAAACAGCTTGAAATAAAGTTAAAGTGCATTTGATGTAATGTTAAATTATTAATATATATATATATATACTTAATATATATAATATATATATAATATTAATATATATATATATATATATATATATATATATATATATATATATATATATATATATATATATATATAACAAGTAAAAAACAGCTAAGTTCGGGCGGTCCGAACTACTAACTACTAACTAAAGTATCAGAATTCAACTTTCAATTTTAAAATTCATATAACATTAAGACCGTTTGGATAATGCAGTTAAACTTATAAAAAAAAGACACCAATTTTTAGACAAATCCATGGGAAAACTGTGGCAAAAATCATCAAAATACTAAATATCAGGATGTACCATTATGAGAAAATGTGGACCTATACATAGAATTCGATTACCACAGCAGTTAGAATCCATTACTAACTACAAATACCAATTTTTAGACAAATCCTTGAAAAAATGTGGCAAAAATCATCAAAATACCGAATATCGGGAGGTACCAATATATGGGGGCTACACAAAAACGTGGACCTATGCAAACAATGTTTCGCCATACGAGCTGGAACCCATTATGACCCACAAATCCCATTTTTTAGACAAATTTGTGGGAAAATGTAGCAAAAATCATCAAAATACCAAATATCGGGAGGTACTGTTATATGGGGCTATACAAAAACGTGGACCTATACATACAATGTTTCGTCACAGCAGCTAGAATCCATTATAAACTAAAAATACCAATTTTTAGACAAATCCATGGCCAAAAAAATCATGAAAATACGGAATATCGGAAGTACCATTATATGGGGGATGTACGAAAACGTGGTCATATATGCACAATGTTCCGCCACCGGAGCTAGAACCCATTACGAACTACAAATGACAACTTTCAGACAAATCCCTGGAAAAAAATGTGGAAATACGTGGACCTATATATACAATGTTTCGCCACCAAAGCTAGAACCCAATACGACATACAAATAACAAATTTTAGACAAATCTGTGGAAAAATGTGGCAAAAATCATCAATACATCGAATATCGGGAGGTAACGGGTTATACCAAAACGTGTACCTATACATACAATTTTCCGCCAGCAGACTTAGAACTCATTACGAACTATAACAACCAATTTTTAGACAAATCCGTGAAAAAATGTGGCAAAATCACCAAAATACCGAATGTCGGAAGGTACCGTTATACAGGGATTATACCATAACGTAGACCGATACATTTCGTTTTCAGTAGCAACCATTCTAGACACAATACAAATCGTTCTGCCAAATTTTGAAGCTCTTCGTCAAATAATGAGGACTGTATCGTGATTTCAACAGGCAGACAGATGGACATCGTTAAATCGACTTAAAAGTTTATGCTGAATATAAATATGTATACTTTATGGGGTCTACGACGAATATTTAGGGATATTACAAACAGAATGACAAAGTTAATATACCCTCCTTTTCAAAGTGGAGGGTATAAAAACAGCTAATTTCGGCCGGCCCGAACTTTTAATAGCCTTCGCCATTTAGAAGGAACTTGCAAAATGTTAAGAAAATTTCGTCGAAAAATACCGTTTACCGCTATGTGGGGGCTATACGAAGACGAGGACTTCCATACGCAATTTCTTGTCATAAGCTGTAGTACCCATTAGGACATTCAAATGCGAAATTTAAAACAATTTCATTAAATAATGCCGCTATTATAATCAAAATACCGAAAAAAATGAGGTACCATTATATATGTGAAGTATACGAAGACGTGGACCTGCATTCGCAAATTTTTATCATAGTCCGTAGTACACATTACTAACTTTAAATACGAAATTTGAAACTATTCCTGTCCATAATGTCTCTAACACCATAAAAACACCGAACTTGACCTACCTATTGACAAAATACACATGTTTGCAAAATTTTAGTCTTCTATCTCAATTTGTTCAAAAAAATAGAGTGATTTCAACAGACAGGCGGACGGATATCGCTAAATTGACTAAGAATTTAACGCTGATCAATACTTTGTTAGGTTTCACATACGTATTTTGCGGAGTAACAAACGGAATGACGAAGTTAATACACCACCCATAGTATGGTAGAGGGTATAATAAAATAAGTTAATAATTAAGTGTATAGCAAAAAAGTAAGCAAAAGCTATAGTCGTGCGGGGCCGACCATGTGGTACCCCACAACACTATAATATGTTAGAAGTCCCTTTATGTCCATATCCGTTTTGGAAGATTTCGTTTTTGAGTATTTTAACCAGGGACATTTTCCAATATTTGTTGTGGTCCATTTTACAGCTAAATATAATCCAATGGTCATCCAAAAATACTAGACTTCTTTCCTCTCTTCTCAGGCGTGTCGATTAGATTCAGATTTTTTTAGTTCATTTGAACCGCTAAATATTTTGCGATCATCTCCTAAAGCAAGAGGCCCCTCTGTATCTCCAAATTTAGACTCATCTATATTATTTGCTTGTCTACGATATTTGCCTACATTCGTCAACAAGATCAGCATAAAAAAGCCAGAAGTTCGTCTTTTATGTATTTCGGATATCGCCTAGCGAAATTTCGTGTCCTCACCCCTAACCCTACACTTGTGAAAATTTTCGTGAGGATCGAACGTTAATTACAATCTGTATTTAATAACCCCAACCTGTGTTGTAAGGCGAAAAATATTACAAAATATACACTTCAATATTATAAGTTAAATTAAAAAAATTGCATGCGATAAAAAATATGAAAAAATAAAAAAAGTTATCATTATTAGCATCTTTTTATGCGATTTTCTAATTTTATGCGAAGAGGGCATTCTGAATTGACATAATTTGTCAAAATCGGTCCAGCCATTCTTGAGATATAAGCATTCTAGCTAGCATCCCTTTCCTTTGTATATACACATATTTCGCTATATATATATCCGATATATTTACTATCGGCATCTATGTCACGGGCAGAGTTGACCTGTTCGTCTATTTGTGATTTCGTCGAGATTAAAAATATTCGCGGTTCAATGGAAAATTTGACTTTTATTTAACACAAATGTTGTGGCCTATTTCACCCACTAAATATTACCCAATGACCATCTAAGCTCTAACCCCACGTTGAATTCCGCATCGATTGATCTATAATTGTAGAGCAACTGCAACATCATGAAAATTTTCAAATTTCCATTTCAACCCTTAAATATTATGCGATCATCTCCAAAAGTAATAGGCTTATATTCTAGCAATTCCAATTCCCCAATTCTAAATTTCGTGAAGATCGGGCCATAATTGCGACCGGTAGAGTGATTACAAATTAACATGGACAGACGGACATACATAGCTAGATCGACTCAGCTCGGCGAAATAGGAAGATCCATATATGCTTTCCTATGTGGGAAACCAATATTTCGAGGTGTTACATAATTTTTGGCCCAATCAAACTTATAATACCCCCAACACATAGTGTTGTAGGATATAACACTCAATGACTTAGATGCACAAGGGCAAGTGACACCCTACTCGTATTGAAAAAAATTTATTATTCTAATACTTATGTAGGTACATTTTGATGTAGATCAAATATATGAAGCAAATTTTATTTTAGTTTATCTTTCGTAGGGACTTCAAAAATAAAATCTCTGCCCAATAAATTTCGTTGTCACGTGAGTGTTCATAGGCCTTGAACTTTAATAGAATTAGTTTAAAAATACCTCCTGCAAGACCGACACCATTCACCTCGTCCTAAAGTGATGAATGGGATGTGTATCGCTTTGGTCGTAAACTAATCATTGCCCGCTATTTATGTTCTGTTTTCACAAACCGACTGCACTTTTATTGAAGTGTGGTAGATTATTTTTGTTTTATAATCGCTTACGAGAAAGAGAGAGAGATTCACTATCAGTGCTGCCAGGTGTTTTCAAAACGAATATTTATACTTATGTTAAATATGTTTTGCGAAAGATAAATCTATTCACAAGGGCACCCAAATATTAAATTACAGCGGACATGAGTTAAATTGAGTCCGTTATGTGGGTCAAAACTGGATCTAATTAGAATATTTCTCACGAAGCGTTAAACTACCCATTGAGATACCGAAATATCAAATAAAAGTTGGAAGTGGAAACCAAAACCTTCTATGTATCGAAAATCAGGTGGCACCATTATATAGAATGCTATAAACGTGATACATTCAATTTTTAATAACAAAAATCCATGACCTTGCAAATTAATAGTGTAAGCTCTATCGTGATTTCAACTACTCGAATTTTACCCTGATCATGAACGAACCCCTTAAAGTAGGTCTACGACGAATATTTTGATGTGTTGTTACCGTTTATGTTCTGCAAATGTTAAAATCGGTAAAATACCTGAGCGTACTAATAATGTGGGAACACTGGTAAACACCACCCACCCCACAACTAAACAAACCAACACGATCACATTGTTCTCTTTGCAGTCGGTTTTATGAGAAAATGTTCAATGCATGTGATAAGCATGCTACTGTGTTCAACGAACGATAATGTGGGATATCAAACTGAGCGGTTTGAGTGCTAGTCAGAGGAAGTAGGCAAAGCGAAAAACCACTTTGTCTTCCCCAGAGGCGATTGTACTCAGTCAGTAGGAAATGTGAACGCGCCAGGGTGTGATCACCCATTCGATTGTTTTGTATTCGTTTTTTTTTATATTTTGTTCATTGTCGTAAATCGTTAAAGTGCCGACATACATACATACATCAAAACAAATGTAATTAACTCGGTGTGATTAAGTGATAAAAGGACTATATTCACTTTTATATTGGCGGGCACTCAGTGATCAACAAAGCATTTTCGTAATCGTGTGATTTGGGAATTTGGAAGCCCTTCACGACTGTTTATCGGTTATTTTGCGTAAACAATAAAAGTGTCGTTATGCTTCACAGTAGTATGATAATGAATTAATATGAAAATTGTTAACATGAATTACACTGGTTAACAAAATTGAAACCACGATGAAAATACAAAACCAAAAATTATAAAATAAAGTACGCCTAATTTATTTAAACATTAAAAATAAAAATAATGATTTAAATCCAACATCGCATATACCGGATATGGAAAGTGAAAATCATCAGCAAACAAAGATTTAAAATTGCAAATGAAATGTTATGAAAAATTTGATTGTGTAGAAAATATGAAGAGGCAACGGAATTTCAATAGTAAAAATCCTAGTTCCAAATAACCGAAGATTTTAGTTTGAAAAATTGTCGCTAGATGTGTTTGTGTTTGTCATGATATCGAAACAAAAAATATTATATCCATTTGGTGAATATGAAATGTCCAACCCCTAATCTTCCATATCTTTGATTCAATGATATATGGAGCTATACCAAGATTAGTTATTAGAAGTAAACTGATATATCCTATCTTCACCCTAGATTTTCCAGAGGAAAATCAAGGGCTTTTCAAAATTTGAACACGATGTTTTCGGATTTCACACCTGATCCCAGTCTGATATTACGATATATGAAATTTCAATTAATTCGGATGATACCAGACGGACACGACTAGAGCGACTTCAATTTACGTAATTGGGGATTATTTTTCGGTAAACGATATGAACGATATGAAACACTTCTCCTATAGAGGTCACACAAAGGTTCTTACGACTTTTCATTTGCTATCAACATTAGATACATTATGAAGAGGTATTGTGTATGCCCAGAAGATCAATGTCGACCCTTTCCTTTTAGTACCTCGCCGATTTTCTTTAAATCTTCCTGGTGGCTCCACTTAAATAAATCGACAAGACCAAGTTCTATCTTATGAATGTTGCTATATTTCGGATTCGGTTAGTAAAGAATGTTAAACCCATTTCAGCTGATATGAAGTATATTCACAATCAACCCAAAGTGACAAATTGTTGTTTTTGCAAATTTTAAATGTCCAACTTCCATAACATAATAACACAGTGCGACAAAATACAATTTTTTCAATAACTACTGTGATAATCCAACAGACTATGAAATAGAGCTAAGAATAGAAGGCACGTGTATCGGCGTTTTGAAAGATTGCATCGCACATACTCTAAATAAAACACCAGGATTATTTTGATCGAAAATTTTAACCATCAAGCTAGTCAACAAAGAGGTCTTTTTTGGTCCTTTTTGAAAATATTGCTAAAACCTCCCTTTAACCGATATTAAAGCAGGTCAAAATATTCTACAATAGTATTTGTCATAAAATTCTGCTATAGGTCATTAAAGACGTCAAATGTCTAAATCTTTCCAAAATTTTAGAGTCAAAGCCTACATTACGAGAGTTGATGCAACACAGTGTCACTTTAAAAGGACAATTTTTCCTCAGATTTTTATCAGGTGCCAATTGAAAGTAGCATGAAATTTTGTTTTATTTTAAAAACTACCTCAAAGCTATTGCAATTTAATTTCCATTGCTTAGCGCTTTGAAGTTTCGTATAAAATTGTGTTATCATGTTTTATTTCACTTCGAACTTATGCATATTTATGAGTGTTTTTCCACTTGAGAAAAAACCACCAAACAATCGCTGAAAACACGAGTTAATGAAGCTATGTGAAGCCAAAAGCAAAGAGTAAAAACGCTAATAACAATTCAAATATATACTTTTTATAAAACAAAGTCATTGTAACCTGTCGAATAATTAGTGTCATATTGTTCTCGCGATCTTGTGAAAAGCGGAAAACAGGAAAATCCATATAAGATGTGCGAACGAGTAGGGTTAACGTATCATAATCCATGGCGGATTGCCTTTTTTCTTACGGTTTACAAATAATTTGAGTAAAAAACTTGAAATTGGAAACGATAATCGGTTTATTAAGTGCTTTAAACGCATCCCCATTAATATAGCAGATTTTGAATTGTTACTGCTTAAAATTAATACACATAAAATATACCTATGCCTATTTGTGCACAATTGCATTCATTGGTGTAATCAGATTGTATAAATAATACTTTTCAAAGCGAATAACAGTAATTTATAACAACAAACCAATCGATATATTGCATATTAATAATAAATTAATGAATTTAACAGCAACAAACACCAACAGCGTACAACAACATTATAACGTTCAATGTAAATGACGATAATATAAATAAACATACAGCAACAAAATAATTAACTTGCCGATAAATTACCAGTGTAAATTAATAAAATTGTTAACGTCAATAATCAAATAAATGAGGAAAACACGAAATATCCAAGCATTTACAACGTCTACAACTAGAACATCGAAATTGTGTGGATCGGCAACCCAAGCAACACGCCATCATGTCAAAGTACCAGAAATTATCAAACAACGATTCTACGGCAACACTGACAGACGACGAGAACTTTGCGATATTCCCCACCAGTGATGATGATGATGATCGCCGTCGTCGTCATCGTCACAACGATGACAACAGCCATTATCAGGTGGAAGATCTCATTCAGTACAACGACACCGTCGACCGGGAACGTAATGCAAACAACATGAACAACAAAAACAGTACCAGACACCCCACAAGCAACAACAACAGTGCCAAACATATGAATGGCATCGCTACCTATAGGAATACAACTATTAATGACAGCGGGGACAGCAGCGGCAGCAATAATTTAATTATTGCAGGGCTCGACTTTGACGACAACACAATGGAAATACCACTACTTCAACGCAGTACCGTCGATGCTGACAACTGTATCAACAACAACAACAGTAATCACTTTGAAAGCTACAATAAAAAGGTAAATAAATATGAGCCTACATAGGTTTACATGGTGCATATATGTACATGTGTGTAGGTATGTTTATGTATGTATAAAACAATGTATGCATTCATTCATAAATGTTTTTAATTTAAGAATAAAATCACGCGCTGGAATGTCTTCAATTAACATAATTGCAAACGGCAAGTTGAGAGTAGTCGGACTAATTCACACCCAACGAAAATTTGGGAGCAGTGAGGGCCGAACAACCCATTAAAAGATATTGTAAACAAACTACTTTCCTGCATTACTAGTTGGTGAAAATAATAGGCCAATTTTTATATCCTCCTCATTTCGTTTGTAACACCTAGAAATAATCATGTCAGACCCAACAAAGTGTATATATTCCCGATCAGAGTGAAATTCTAAATCGATATAGCGGTATTCGCCTTTCTGTCTATTTTAATCACATTACCTTTGGAACGAACTGAGATAGAAAGTTAAAAATCTGCACATATGTGTGTTTTGGCAGTAGGCAGGTTCAGCTTATAAATGGACCATGTCGGTCTACGTTTTCACATGGCCCCCACATAATGGTACATCTTAATATTCGGCATTTTGTTGACTTTAGTTATATTTTGTACAGCCTATACAGGTCCACGTCTTCGTATACTCCCCATATTCAGTATTTTTATGGTTATAGCAGCGGAATTTGGGAATTGTTTCAAATATAAATAACACTCGATCGAGTTCGAAGATGAGCAATATCGGTGCACTTCTTCTGGTACGTCACCCACAAAAGGTCGAAATTTTCAAAACAAAAAAAAATATTTTACTGCACAGAAAGAAAAAAGATAATCCAATTTTACTCCAACTTTGCAAATCCTTATATTTGCATCAGTGCTAGGTCTGGTGTGAATATATCGGTCTACTCCTTCTGGTACCTCCCCCACAAAAGGTCAAAATTTTGAATAATTATAACTCTTATATTTCTATAACTATTTATTTCTCATATTTCACACATCCAATTATGTCTACTAACAGAAGATCTGCTGTGAAGATGAAATATATCGGTCCACTCCATCCCTGAAGTTCATAAAACGCGAAATTAACATCCGATTCCATTCAGACTTGGTACATATCAATATTTCCATCAACACAAGATATAATGGTAGAGATCGAACCGGATATGTGATATATCGGTCTACCTCTTTTGGTACCTCCCATATAACGGGTCAAAATTTTGAATAGCCATGAAGCTCGAAAATCGTGAAATGAGCATTCCTTTCAAACTCAGCACACCGCAACATTTCTATCAACACAAGACCAGGAATGAAGATGGAATATGTGGGATTACTTCTTCTGGTACCTCCCCGATATCGGCCTACCCCTTCTTGTACCTCTCCCACAAATGTTCAGAATTTGCAATGCATATATCTGTCATAAATGCTATGATCAGAGGTGAATATGCAATCTATCAAAAGGTTTAAATAATAATTAACAATTATTCCAAAAAAAAAAAAAAAATGGTTATAGATGTCTGATTCTCTTCATTCTCTTAGATAAATATATCTGGTACCTCACGCGGTGTCTCCTCGATAAAGGGTCAACATTTTAAATAACCATAATGTGAGTCAAAACATATTTTAACAAACTGGGATAGGTTGAGGGTTAAGGTATAATTTTAAAACTTTACCTCCGATATTCGATATGTTGATTATTTGTGTCACACTTGTTCCCGGAATTTAAGGTTTTTGGTGTTTAAGTCACATTATCCAACTTAATTTGCTGTAAATTTTGAATATGTTTTGCCAGTATGTAGGAAACATCCTTTCAGAGAACTGTACATACATATAGGCCCAATTTTTGGTATAGTTCCCATATAACAGTAACCCCGATACTCAGTATTTTTATGATTTACGTCACATTTTTCACCGGAATTGTACTAAATTTGGTATTTTGAGTTCGTAATGGGTACCACATCCACTGAGAGAAAATATGTTTTACAGGCCCACGTCTTCGTTGGCTCCCATATAACGACATTTTTCGATATTTTTATTATGTTAGCTACATTTTTCAACAGAACTATACCAAACTTGATATTTGTAGTTCGTAAGAGGCACCGTCCTCGCTGCCATATAACTGGCTATAGAGGTCCACGTTTACTTAAAATTCAGCATAACTGTAACACTTGATATTAGGATATTCTAAGCATTTTAACGGCATTTTTCAACGAACTTTTTTACATTTTTCTTCTTCTAACTGGTGAAACGTACTAAATATTGGCACGGCGAACTTACTTGCTTTTGTGCTTTTTTAATAGTAATAATTCAAACCCAGTAAAAATATGGGACACGCACAATCCTAACAACATACTAAAGAATAATTTTATCATTACCAATAGGCTAATAATAATATTTTTTACAAAGTAATGGATAACGTTGGTACAGAGCATGAGTGTCCGAATATGAAATGGAAGGTTGTGAGCAGGGAAGAAAGGTAGTTGTAGAAAAAAAGCTGAACTTTGAAAATAAATATTTCCGTTTTTAGACATTTCTGTGTGTACTGTCATAGAAAAATTAGTTGCAAACGTATTTTTTTATTTTACACTGGAGAGAAAATTGGTGCAATATCAAAGCATTGATCTTTTATAATTCTAAATTTAAAAACTATTAAACAAAAGCTACAGTCGGTCTAGGCGGACTATTTGATACTGTATTGAACTGTTACATTTATGTAGATGTGATGTGATTTGACGAATGAACGAATTTCCTAAGATATTATCCCACTTGGGCCATTTCATTCTTGAAATAATGTCGTAAAGTCTCATAATAGGGTTATACCAATAGGCATTTGTCATATATTTCCACCTTCTGCCGTGGTAACGGGTATTCGAAATAGTATTTTAAAAATTAATTTCTGTATATATTTTGCTATATTTCTCATAACTGACTTTATAGACAACGAAATCAGCATAAATATAAAAGTCAAAAGTGCTCTTTCAGTCTGTATATGATTTCGGCTGTATTTGACTTACAGCATTAATAATATTGCGGTTGTTTGAACATTTAAGTATTTTTCACACATCCACGGATAGTGTTGTTGGGTATAATTATTACAATAATTATGATCTATAAGTTTGTCAAAAGGAAATCCTCTTCAAAATCTATATCGCAAAATGGTGTAGGTTGGCACGTGGTCGCCTATTCATCACTTAATTTTTTAGGCTGCATAAAATATCTGGCACAAATAATAGGTGTGTTACTTTTCCTGCAGGAATTGTCCAGCAACATCTTTCTGAGAGAGTAAGGTAGTTTTATTCTCTTTTGCAAGGAAATTGCGAAAAGTAAACAGACGGTATTCCTGCAGAAGCTTGCAACTAATCAGCTGATTTGTCAAAACAAACCAATTTGTCCCCTATTAAAAGAATTAAACCAAAGGAACCACCACCAATTTCACAAGATTTTTAAATAAAAAGGAAATTGACAATAAAATAAAAATATGAGCAATAAAAGGAAGATAGATATGATGTGTTCCGCGGAATCTTTTAAACCTGTTGCTAATGGCATTTGTCTAAAAATGCTGGAAATAGTCTTTTATTTTCTTATTACATACTAATATTTATTTTTTCACATTTTGTAAAGTTGTTCTCCAAAAACAATTAGTCTTGCTAATTCCAAAACAATATTTTCAAATTAAAATCACAGAAAGAAATAAATAAACAATAGAAAACATCTGATTGAATGTCGATGGATGAGAAGAAGAAGAGTTGCAAGAGATTGCAAGAAGAAAATTGTCCAGCAAGAATTTGCAAACTCTCATTGAAAGAACTGTCAACATTTCTCTCTCCAACCGCTCTCTTTTGCAGAACTTTCGGGTAAACAGACGACTTCCAGTAACAATTGTTACAAATTTTAGGGTAACCAGACACACCTATTATTGATATCAGTAACAATTGACCTGCGGGTAGCTTAAAAATTAAATCTGCTGCAATTTGGAAGAATTAAGTCTTCCAACGTTGAATTCAATACGTTGAATTCAATCTTATGTATAATAAGTTAAAAAACAATTCAATTTTTAATACCCTCTACCAATAGGCAAAAAACAATTTTAAATAAAGACTGGATTCAAACGTGTTCCACTTTAAATTGCAAATACCAGTGAGATCGGTTGGAGAATGCAGTTAAAACTTTCGAAGTATTTTAATGTGGCTGTAACCGTAATGTAGAGGTCACATTATAAGACAGAAAATATTTTACTAGAAATATTATTTCTATTTCCAGTCTTAAATACAAATTGGAAAAAATTCTGTGGAAACATATGGCTAGGAACTAATAAATACCGAATATCGGTAAGTACCGTAATACGGAAACCGTGGACCAATATGGACAAAGTTTTGACACCATTTGTAGAACCCATTATGAACTACAAATATCGAATTTAAACCTCATTACAAACTCTTCATACCAATCTTGGAAGAATTCCGAGGAAAAATTAGACCAAAATCATGAAAATACCGAATATCGGCAGGTACCGCTATATGGGAGATATACGAAAACGTGGAGAAATACACCTTATTTTCTATACCAACCATCCCAGTTTTCCACGAAATTGCTTGAAGTTTTTAGTTTTTAGTTCGTAATGAGTACTAGCACGGGTACCAGACTATTGTATGCATTGATTCCCGGTTTCCTTTAGCTCTCACATAGCAATACCGCCCACTATTAGATTGTTTTTATTGTTTTTTTGTTTTTAACCAAATTTTTCCACGGAAATGTTTGAAAATCCTAACAAAATACCACATCTGTAGAGATTCTGCTCAGGCAAACGAAAAAACGTTATTTAATACGATGAATTGTTGATGCTGTTGTAAGACTTTAAACAACCTTAACTAGTTATTCGAAAGCTTATTTATACCCCTGTGACGATCGTCAAAAGAAGAGGAACCAAAAAATTAAAGAAAATTTTCATAAAAACAACAAAAATGGATTTTAGCCTGACTATTTTGAAACATCAAAATAAGAAACCAAGTAGCTTAAATCTCAACTCATCTCAATGCGATGGAGGGTGTTCTGGATGACCCTGAACATCCTGTAAAAGGCCTTCTTAATAGTCGCTGATATCAGGTGCAGCTCGTTCCTTTTATTTGTTTCTTATGTACTGCACTTTTAATTTTCTAAAGACATTACTGTGCTTCTAACGAGAATTAACGGCGTATCTTATATTAAATTCAAGTTCTAAGGGATTTAAATTTAATGATACGTCGTTCAAAAATTCAATCAAACATTTGATGCAAAACAAGTGAATAGTTTGAAATTACTTTTATAAAATGGTCGTATTCTAAAATCAACAAATGTACATCAGCTATTTCATGGATATCTTTCTAGCGTAGATTACTACGATTGATTTAGACAACTATTACTTCCCACCGAAAAACACATAGGGTAATTGTGCCTAAATTCGGCATGTCCCAGTAGCACTTCTTACTTTTAAGCCCAAATAAATGAAACTATTATAACTAAATGTATTTTGTTTACTTCAAATATATTGTCAGCTATCTTTGCGTACAATTTCGCTAAGAAAAGATGATTTATTCTAAAAATTAAATTTTTGTCTGTGAAGATCCTCAACAATCCATATTCTTAAGAAAAATACAATAAAGACGTCGAATCAGTTTAACTAAACAAAAATATTATATTTTAATGAATTAATTTATTATTATTATTAATTATTCTTCCAAAAAAATTGGTATGCCGACTGTTGGAACATGCCATACCGACAATTAGCAAGTGGTGCCGACTACCGGCAAAAAAGCATTGTTTTAATAAAACTACAAATTTATGAAATTTAATAAAAAGTTATTAAAACTTTATTTATTATTGCAAAAACTATACAAATTTTCGAATCTGAATAAATTAACTTTGTAATAATTGAAAAGTTCCACTCAGAATGGTGAGCGATTAAAAACGCAAAAATCCTAAAAGTGCCGACTACTGGTACACTTACCCTATTCATGAGGATTGACCTAGTACCAGTTTGAAAACAAAATTAAATTTTTAACGGAATCTTATTTACATTGCTCTATAGCCCAAATTTAGCGCTTGGTACCAAAGCAGTCGCCCGCTGTTAATGTATAAACCAAAATTATTATAATTTTTTAGTTTGTTCCGTAAATGTTTTTTTTTTTATCCAGATTTGTTCGTAAATCACTAATATTTTTTTCTATTATAAAAATTCAAATCAAAAAATGTTATTAGAGATAAAACCATACTTATGACAAAAAACAAAAGTTCCAATGAAAATTCCAAGTTTAAACCAAGATTAATCTTTATATCGAATTTATTATATTGCAATAATTTGACAGAAGGACATATAAAATAAATGAACTCTAGACGTGGAATTCTACGTCATGTTTTAATTCGAATCCGCAATGCTTACAAAAATTAAACTGAATATTTTTCAAATTGTGTTTTAAACAAACAAAGCTGAAAACAAAAAAAAAAAAAGACAAAGTTTACTCTCAATAAATAATTGCGATTGTTTTCTAATAAAAACATTTACATCGCACAATTGCATCAATTAACAAAATGAGTTGTTTTAATTCAATTCAAATCAATTCGCAAAGGACAGACACAAATATAATGAGGTTTTTTCTGTGTGTTCAGTGTATTTCAAAATGTTGTATAAACATTTGCCATAGTTTCGGCTGGAATACAAATAATTCAAAATAAACATTTGTAAATTATTTGTACGAATTTGAACACATTGAAATGCGGAATTGGGTAAATTAAAATACAAACAAAAGTGATGTTGTGAAAGCAAACCTCTGAATATAAAATAAATAATTGAATGTTGTTTTCAAAGGATGCTGAGTATAGGCATACATGTATATACACACATCGAATGTTTAAATTATGAACTACAAATACCGAATTTGAAGCAAATCGGATGTAGGTAGAAATTCCTAATATTCGGAGATACTATTATAAGGGGGTTATAGGAAAAACATGGATCTATATAGACAACTTTATAACATTGAATGTAAAACCCTTAACAAACTCTAAATGCCAAATTAAGAAAAAAATCATTAAAAAATGATAAAATTATCAAAATACAGAATATTGGCAGGTATCGCTGTATATGTTATATATAGTAAAACGTGGACGTTTTGAGCAATTCCGTGTAAAATGTTGGCTATAATCATCAAAATAACACATGTCATGAGGTACCCTTATATGAGGGCCAAACGTAAACGTGGACCGACATACCCCATTTTCAATTCCAGCTATCATAGACACAGTTTTAATTTGGCAGTACAAACTATTGTGTTCAAGCTCTACGTCAAATTATGTGGTCTGCATCGTGATTCCAACAGACGGACGTAGTTAAATAAACTTAGAATTTTATGCTGATACTTTATGGAACTCCGATGAATATTTTAGGTGTCATAAGCGAAATGACAAATTTAATATACCCTCTCTTCGAAAATAAAAAAGGGCTAAATCCATGTATAGCGTAGTCTATGTAAAAAATGGTGAATAATATAAAACATCTTGTTCGCTTCAACTCACTTTTACCTGTTTTGTATCGTTGACTATAGCACAGCTTCCATGTTAATTATTTTTAATGGTGCAAATTAACTGATTTTGATCAAAACACTACATTCCAGTAAACTACATTTATATTAATAGAAATACATTAAAAGTTCGTCAGGCATGGTATTGTGTAGCTCATTTTCAATGCTTGAAAAACATTGAAAAACATACAACAATTTAGAGGAGTTTTTTTTTGCAAAGATATTGCAAAAAGAGGGAAAGTCACACGGATTTATCGAATCGAACTAGTACAACATTTTGACTCAGACAACTGCCCAGGTAATATTATTCGAACTCCTACACTTTTGGAGATGAATTTCCATACACATATCTTGTTTACAATTAAAAAAGTTAACTTTTATTTTTTCCTCCTTTCCTTACCAATGGTCCGTAATGGTAAATAGACAATTAGCTTCGTTCCTGCAAAAAAATCATTCCATTTACATCACTTAAACCGAACAATGATAACGTATTTTTCATTACTTACACGTCCGTAGATGTGTGTGTGTGTGTAAGTTTGTGGACGACGTAAGTACAAATATGAAATTCTCACAAAGCTATTCATAAATTCCTCCAGCGCGTGATGCCAATTAAAGTTTACGTTACGTTTGTTGTAATTACGTTTTTATTTGCAATGTAGAGTAATTCTTTGCGCTATTTTAATTGTGTTCTATTCCATAACAGGATGATTTGGAATACGGTTGCCTGTGCCAACAAAAAGGATTTGCATCCAACCTCAGCAGCAATTCCACTAAGACCGCTAAATCAAAAATCCTCTGGGCCGTCGGTATGTGTTGCATATTTATGGTAAGTGCTCCCAGCTCTTTGTTGTAGAAGATCAACGGCAAAGCCATGCTTACATCCATACTCGTATCTGTGTACGTGTACGTGCATATGTATTTGTGTTTGTTTGTGTTATATTGTTCTTACTTAGCCACGTATGTTTGTTGGACGTTATTTAAACACTCTCATCCTCAGATGCATGAACATTAATGTGATTGCACTTTTTTCGATTCGATTTGAATTTCGATTCTTCGAATAATTCGAAATCAATGAACTTTATCTTAATAATGGCGAACGTTGGTGAATGAACTTATTAAATAAGCGATCAATACACTCATATATCACCATATAAAGCCTTTTGTGGGTAATAAAATATTTTTCTCGGTTTTCAGTGTTGAGGTGATATTTCACAGACTTAATTAAGAAAAATAAGCATATAAAATTAAAATTGTATTTAATTTTACTTAACTACAGACTCGCTGTCGTTGTTACGATATATCGTCCTTGTAATGGTGTATTTTTTCGAAACGGTTTATTTTTGGTACCACTTTAATGTCCAACAAAGCTTTGTTTCATTTTTTTTTTTTGGTTTTATATTCTTTAAATGTGTACATGTGCTTGTGCAACGATTGTATGAGAATGTTGATAACATAACCACCGACCGACCACCACCTACATTCCGGTGAACATACCACAAACATGCTCAAATATCCATAGATCCACTCATATTTATTGTTTTCGTTTTCAACAACAATTTCTTTTTCAATGCTTTCGGCTCGTTTGTTAACTTTTTCAATGGCTCCGGCTCCTTCTTCCTCTGCTATCCTCCACTGGCGTTCGAAACTGGGGCGTGCTGGTGGTCTTCCTGGTGCTACGGCTGTTCTCCATATAGATTGTTGAATTCCTGGGTGGCTACATTGCCGGAAGCTTAGCCATTATGACGGATGCCGCACATTTAGCATCAGATTGCATTAGTTTCGTTATTGGTCTGGTAGCAATCTGCCTGGGCAGCCGACCACCGGATGCAAAAATGTCATTTGGATACAAACGCTTAGGTACGTATAACTCTGCCATAATCGCCTCTAACCAACAATCAGAGGCTCACACATGCACATTCATATTTCTGACCATTACCAACACAAACAACATATTACTTAATTTTAAGTGCATTTCAGTAAATTTTTGCTACGAAGGTGAAGGCAGGTGAGTGTGTGTTGAGATCATCAACGGAACCCCTATTAGATGGGCAGAGTCCCAGTGTGTGGTGGCTTTAATGTTAAGAATAGGGGATACGAATTTAAATACTTTGTACAAAATATTAGGAAATGTTAGGAAAAAGGAAATAGAAAGACAATTAAAACCGATCATTGTGCTAAACTAATTTGTTATGGAATGAAACGTTTTATTAAAAATAAATCATTTTTGTTTTCAAATTTCAATATACAATAGTATTGATTCAAAGATACAAGTTTTGAAAATTGGACTTAAATGTCGTAAAAAACGTTGTTCTGTTCCTTTTATATGTTAAAAGGCACACTCTTGATATTGAAGGCAATGGTTTCTTATTTGAAAAAGTTGAGCATACTTTCAGGCGAAAAAGAAAAAAGCAATTAAACACCGCCATTTGCTAAAGGATTGTTGCTGGGACAAGCCGTGAAACGTTTATTGTGAACAATATAAAGAACGGTAGAAGAATATAGGTAGATGCATCAACGGTGGGGAACATTGATATGCAAAAAATTTTAAAATGTTTTTTAAAAATAAGTAGATTTTTATATGTTTTCTTATAAGATGCAAATCGGATTTTGTTATAATAAGCATTTTTCGACAGTTTTAACGAATTTGAATAATTTTTCATTCAACATTTTCAATTGCAAATTTGGTTTGACAGTTCATTGTCCCAGCAGATGTGTCGATGCGACTACATGTATTCTTCTATCATGATAGGTAGCAATTAACTCTAACTTTATTATTGAAAGGTCCATATTTATAGAAAAGCGTATATTAATAGATTTCAAAATTAAAAGATTGCCATTTGGACAAGTTCAGAATTCGAGTTCTATTATGAAAGGATGAACGGATTTTAGTTTTTTCTGTGTCAGTATCACACAAACATCATACCCTACACCATATAGTGGTAAGGGTATTATGTCTCTGTGCATTTGTATGTAACAGGGAGAAGGAAGCGAAATAGACCCATAGTTACTTTTGAGAATTATATAATATAATCACTTTCTGAGTCAATTTATGCATGTCAGTCCGTCCGTCCGTCCATGTATTCTTGCGAACAAAATGCAGGTCGCATTTACAATCCCATTGAGATGAAATTTTGCAAACAATACTTCTTTGGCGCAAGGACGAACCCTATTGAAATTTGTTATAATCGGATCAAATTAAGTTATAGCTCCCACATGGCTAATATGAGTACAAATGACCCGTCTTTTGGTATATCCCACCCAATTCAGTCTAGAAGCAAGTAAATCAAATTTGGAGAAAATCGGTTCAGATAAATCTATAGCTCCCATATACAGGGTGAGATAAATAAAACTGTAACTAAGGCAAACGCCATAGTTATTACATTTTTTAAAATGTTATTGAATGAAAGCAAAAACGTTGAAAATAGCATCCAATTTTAGAATAAGTTTAGATTTGTTCGAATTGGTCACCTTTGACACGAATTATGGCCTTCAAATGGCCAATGAAACCGTCACACGCTGCCCGAATGTTGCTCTGCAGTATTTTGGCCATTCTCGGCGAAATGCTTGCTTGAAGCGATCAAAATATTGGTATTTTTTAGTGCCAACCTTGCTTACCAAAATACTCAAGACACAATAGTCCAACTGATTGGTATACGGATTTTTAAGCAGGACCCTCGTTGAAAAACATGTCTTAAATCATTAAAGTACCTAATATAAAGTGGTGATGTTATGTGGGACTATACCAAACCTTTAAATTTAAAAAAGGGCTTAACACCATTAATATATCTGGAATCGCAACGTTCTTTCAATTCCATTTTCTCATAAAACCTTTAGACATAGCGCACCTCAGGGTAGTCATTTGGGTCTTTTACATTTTGTTCTGTATCTTACTGATCTCCCGGATCACATTCTATTCTCTAAAATACTAATGTATGATGACGATGTGAAGATGTATATGCATATAAATTCCCTTGACAATTCGACTTTCTTATAGTACGATTTACATTCCCTTGTGAACTGGTGCTGTGCCAACGGTATGCCCCTTAATCTTAAGAAATGCAAAAAAAATTCCTTGTTTAGATCTCAGCCAATACCTTCTAACTACTTCATCGGTTCATACAAAGTACAAAATGTTGATTTCTGTACTGACCTCGGTGTTATCTTAGATCCTAAACCACGTTTTCATTTACTTATTGACTCGTGTTAATAAAGCCAAGTCTTTATTAGGTTTCATAAAATGCTGGTCTAAAGAGTTCGATGATCCATATGTCACTAAAAGATTATTTGTAAGCTTAATTAGCCCAATATTAAAGTACGGATGTATTCTGTGGAGTCCTTTTTATAAATGTTATTCAGAAAAAATCGAATCAGTTCAATTCCTGATTTTTGCTCTACTGGAACCCGTCAGGACTACTTCCGCCTTATCAAAATTGTTTATTGTTAATTGATCTCCCAACACTTGAATGGAGACGGTTTATGCTAAGAGCGTTATTTATTAGCAAATTAACACACGGTTTGATTGATTCTCATTTTTTAACTGCATTTATAGAAAAAATGCAGACCATTTTCGAAACTTTCGTCATCCTCGACCAGTTGCTAGAACAAGCGACCAATATCTTGATGACGACGAGGAAGATGATAGTGAGTTTCATCCGTTTGCAGGTTCAAATGGATCCGATTATGTGCCCAGTGAAGAAGATGAGTAGGATTAACGTAGCATTTATGTTTAGATACTTGTAAATAGTGTTATTTATTCATACCTCTTAGATATTCCATTTTTAATTATAAATCTATTTATAATTTAACAATAAGGTCCCTTATTGGACCATAACATATATTTGCAATTCAATTTTTAACCTAAAATTATGCAACAAATTTCATTGTAAAAATTATGTTATCGAATAAAAAAGTAATATTTCTAGCTGATCCACTGCCACTTGGTCAAAAAAAAAGTTCCTTATAATATTCCTTCTCGTAGAACTCGTAATTTCGAACCGTTAAAATTATCTCTCGCAAGAACTAATTTCGCAATTAGTAACCCATTGAGATTCTTATGTGTAATCTACAATTGTCTATGTTTAAGTAATTCGTTGAACTCTATTAAAAGATCTATTCTCCACATGTGATTCTATATGTTCACTTACCTATTTTTTATTTCAAAAAGCTGATTTTTGCGGCAACTGATCTACATCTCCCTTTGCGGAACCAGTAGACCCAGGGTTTGAGCACTAGTTGTCAAAATCTTTAAGTTAATTTTCACGGCACCTAGTCTACAATCCCCTCTGCGGAAACAATAGACACCAGCTTATGAACAGTAGTATTTGTTTAACATATTATGTTCACTGTGATTTGTTATAGATGTTATATGTGTTATGTGATGCTCTAATTCCTTTCTCAATAGTGTATTTTTATCTATTACGTTACCGGCTGATGGACTAGACTGTAGCTGGCACCACTAACTCACAACTAACCCATCATTCGCGGTTTTTGTTGTGTACGCGCTCCCTACGTATGGGGAGGTCGCCCCTTGGTCGGCAGGGGTGAGAGTGAGAGGCGAGGGAACGAACGAAAAAAAATAACCCGCTTAGGACCAAAACTTTAGCCACCTAGGTTGATCCCTTCAAAAGTAAGTGTGACATACAAACATACTTAAATTGTTTAGAATATTTCGCTGATTACCAATATATACAGTTTACATAACCCTAGAGGAGTATTTCCTTCAACATATGGTGGAGGATACAAAATAGATATAAGATCTACAGTTGAAAAGTGCCATCTCCAAAAATTATCGCTCTGCTTATCAAATTTAATTTAATTTTTTTTTTTTTTTTTTTTTTTGAATTTAACTCCGTGATTTTTTTTTATTTTTATATATTTGCATAAAGTTAGCTACAAACAGAAACAAGTAAAAAAGCTGTAAGTTCGGCCGGGCCGGCATAGGTAACATTTGTCATAAGCCATTACAATATTCAAATGCGAAACCTTAATAAAATCGGTAACAATGTAGCTAAAATCGTCAAAATACCGAATATCGGGAGGTACCATTATATGGGGGGCTATATGAAAACGTGGACCGGCACACACAATTTTCTGTCTTAGGCTGTAGTATCCATTACGAACTCCAAATACCAAATTTTAAACAATTCCGGTGAATAATGTCGCTAAAATCATCAAAATATCGAATATCGGGAGGTACCGTTATATGGGGACTATACGAAGTCGTGGACCGGCAAAGACAGTTTTCTGTCTTAAGCTGTAGTATTTATTACGAACTTCAAATACAAAATTTAAAACAACTCCGGTCAATAATGTTGCTAAAATCATCAAAATACCGAATATCGGGAGGTACCGTTATATGGGGGTTATACGAAGACGTGGACCTGCACAGACAATCTCCTGTCATAGGCTCTAGCATCTATTATGAACATCAAATTTGATACAATTCCGGTGAATAATGTCGCTAAAATCAACAAAGTACTGAGTATCGGGAGGTACCATTATATGGGGGCTATAAGAAGACGTGGACATGCACAGACAATCTCCTTTCATAGACTGCAGCATCCATTACGAACTTCAAATACCAAATTTGACACAATTCCGGTGAATAATGTCACTAAAATCAACAAAGTACCGAATATCGGGAGGTATCGTTATATGGGGGCTATACGAAAAGGTGAACCTGCACAGACAATTTTTCTGACTTATGCTGTGGTATCTATTATTAACTTCAAATACCAAATTTGAAACAATTCCGGTGAATAATGTCGCTAAGATCATCAAAATACCGAATATCTGGAGGTACCGGTTTATGGGGGCTATACCAAAACGTGGACCTAAATGGCCCATTTTCAGTACCAAAAGTCCTGCCGACATAACATACATTTGAGTAAAATTTAATCAATCTACTTTAATTCGTTCGGAAGCTAGAGTGATTTCCACAGACGGACGGACATCGCTAAATCGACATAGAATTTTATGCTGATCAATAAATACTTTATGGGGTCTAAAATGTATATTTCGAAGTGTTACAAACGGAATGACAAACTTAATATACCCTCCATACTATGGTGTATGGAGGGTATAAAAAGGTGTAAAAGATCTAGGCCAAATAAGATTTTGGCGTCCTGATGTCAGTTACTTTCATGTTAACTTCCAGGAAATATGGATCACACGCAACAATCCTCGTACATATAACATGAAACATAGCTACAACTGCAAACCCAATGTAGATTTGATTTATCGACCGAGTCATTTTACCCCAACATGAGGTAACATTTTTTCTCCAATAAATCTGACTACATAGATATCGACTAAATAATTTTTTAACATTCTGTGTTAAATTATTTCGTAGCTTTCCATTTCTGAAGCACCATAGGACAAATTAATACGTACTTATTTTGGTAAATATTACCAAAAAAAAAAAAAAAAAACAATTCATCTGTTTAAATGGCCTTCTAAATTTTATTTCGAGTATAACCAAATTTTATTAAATAAAATTCATTTCAACAACTTTTGCATTTGGTGAACTTTGATGGGATGTCTAACCTCCAAAAATTGAAATGCGTTCACGGAAAATGTTTATTTTCGTATATTATTACGTATACACTAACGTGTGTGTTTCTATGCATACATGCATGTTTGTGTCTATGTATGTAACATTGAATTATGTTAATTTTCGAATAGAATGCTAATATTTTCTATTTATTTAAGACACATAAATGAATTTTGCAATTCGTATGCATTACAACATTTCCACCATCCTCCGTGTCGGGCGTGCATCCGAAAGATTTGCATTCGGACTGGCTGGCGGTCGGATGGCTGGCTGTGTGCCGTGATTATGCATTCGTTGCCAGTGTCTGTGTAATGAGAATTTGTTTAAAGTGTTATTTTGAACTCTCCGTACTTTTTGTTTATTTGCAGAGGTTATGGGCGCGTTAGCATCGATCCTGGGCATTTGGATTTTAACCGCAACTTTGGTTTTGGTTGCCGTTCAACGCATCTATGCCAACGACTATGACTTGGATGCCAACACCATGATGGTCATTTCTGGCATTGGAATTTTAATTAATATCATGTAAGTGTGGATGTACTTGTCCGTGAGCGTTCTATTTTTATTAGATAGACAAAGTTGTAGCTTTTATTGCGCTTGTTATCTATGTGTGAAGCCTATTTACAGTGAGAACATGGTTTTTAAAAATTGAAAGCATTCTATAATTTATGTTGATGATAGAACACATATGAACCGATCGAAATATTAGCATGATAACCCATATGGCTGGAAAATATCGAGTATGAAATACACCTCTCTTGGAGTTAGCATATATTTTACCCTATAAATAAAAGTTCACTTTGGATTTCAGAATCAAACAAATGATCCATTATAAACTAAAGAATGGAAATCAATATGGCAGTTTTAACCACGTAATTAAAATCGTGAGTAAATATCTTAAAATAGTCATTGCAAAGCCCACAGTAAAAAAAAATAAGTGAAGTAAATCATTTGCTGTCATCTGATTAAAACTGTATAAAAACCTTACCAATAGCTTCCTGATTTAAAATATTTTTTTTTACTATCCATAATATTTTCAAAAATTGAATTGAAATTTGTTTTCGAAATTGAAGTTGTCCAACAGGGGTCGGAGTCCGGCCAAAATAAAAAAATATTTAATATTATTATTTTTAAGTTTAAATCAAAAAGAATTTTTGCTCTCGTTTTTGGATTTTGCATCGGGAATAATCCAATATCAAAAATATTCAATTAAGATACAGTTTTTTTTATATCGCCCATGTAAAGTAAAATTCAGATATATTCAGACTATATTCCCCGAACGACAAGGACATAGTTTCTGTGTTTTCCCATAATCGAGTACTTTTAGTACTTTTTACCAGAATCAAAAAATCAGCAAATATTTCCTGTATTTTTTACCAATGCTATTTCAATCCATGAATGTAGAAGGGCAGTGCTGATATTTTGTTTTTCAGTACTTAATTGCATTTAAAAATGAAATGAAAAAAATGCGTTTTTATGGAAGCAGAACTGCTGCACTCTATATCTATGCCCGCATAAAAAAGCACCAACTTGTTACATTCCATTTAACTCTAGTCATATTTATCTAGTTATATTTATTTTTCAATATTTCCAGTATGATTTCCATTTTACACACTTCGTCGACTGAACTGCCGGAAGGTGGCATAGGTGCAGCTCATGGCCACAGTCATAGTCACAACCATGGCCACAAACATAGCCATAATCACCATCACGGTCATAGTCACAACACTTCGCAGATCCATTCGCCGGATTTACAGCGACATCAACACCGACACAGTCTTGATGGTAGCCATGTGGACTTGGAGCATTCAATGGCATCAGCAGAGAGGAGAGATTCACTTTTTTCCACTGTCGTTGACAGTGCAGGAGCAACATCAATAGAGCAGCGGCCTTTGCCATTGGTTCAAAACGGAAATGGCTTGAAACACCAACAAGATGGGTAAGAATTTATTGAAATAAAATTGTTTGCGGCTATTTATTTAAATGTTGGCATTTGAATGTGAAAAACGAAAAAAAAAAAAAACAAAAAAAAACAAAACAGATAGAACGAACGCTTCGCACCCAGCTTTGGTAGATGACTTTAAAAGGACACTTTGCAAATGTGGCCTTCATTTTAAATTAATGTCACGTACGACCGGTGCGTAATATTTCGAGAACCTTGTAACATTCACATCAGATTTTATTTTTATTTTGTTACTAAATAAACTATGCATGAATTTGCATACAGACTTGTCCCCATTCAAAGTACTTGTCACATAGGTATATAGCTGAAAGATTTTTGTTTAGATTTGCTATTTTTTAATCTGACGTTTATTTTATATTCTTTTCAGAAACGAGAAAAATCTCAATCTGAGAGCGGCAATGATTCACGCAATTGGTGACCTGGTGCAAAGTTCTGGAGTCTTCATAGCCTCAATATTTATAAAAATATATGTATGTATGACATTTAGTTTTCTGCTTATTCTGAAAATCACAATATTTTAATCAAAGGACATTTTTTTTTTTTTAATTTTGCACACTTTGTCTAAAGGAACGCTTAGTGTTTTAATACATACATAAAACTATCCTTTTAAATTAGACTTATCACTTTATGATAAGCCATATTTATATATGCATTTTGAAACTATATTTCATATGACTATTTAGAGTTATAATATGTGATGAAATATTTGGTTACTGCCGTTTTCGAAAAAAATACTAATTAGAAATGATCCTAATTCCAAAATATGAGCTTTTTTATATACAGGGTAAGATGAAAAAATTGTAACCAACTTCAGACTGCTGTAATTTTTAAGCCACTCGTCCGACAGCTGTTAAAATTATTCCAGTGACAGCTCGTTATATTGTTTACAAGCGTACAAAAGCATTTTGGTGAGAATTCTCCAGAAAAAAGTTATTCGTGATGGAATTCAAGCGCTATAGTGTGATTTCTTTACATTTGGCTTGAAAACCACAAGTGGCTATCGTTAGAGCACTCCAGCATTTTAATGCGAATCAATCGTATATATCTCGTACCATCGCTCGTTACCGTGATACTGGTAGCGTAGCCCGACGTCAAGGAAATGGACGAAAGAAAACAGCAACATCAGCAGAAATGGTTCGAAAAGTCACAGTGACCGAAAAATGGTTCGTGAGCTGAACATATCGCAATATTCCATTCGGCAAATATGGAAAAATGAGCTCGGGGTAAAGCCTTTGTAATTCCAAAAAGTGCAAAAATTTACACCACAACAGAAAGCAAATAGATTCAAAAGAGCTGAAGAGTTGCATCGCTTGGCCGAAAGTGGTGAACTGCCGAATTTGGTTTTCTCCGATGAGAAAACATTTGTTGTCCAGCAGTTTGTAAACAAACAAAATGATCGTGTTTACTTGCCAAAGAGGTCAGCAGAAAATTTGCACCTTCGATTGGCCACCATAACTCAAGCGCCGGCCATGGTGATGGTGTGGGCCACGAAAACAGACAATAGGCGCTCTCCGCTCGTATTAATCGACCGTGGCATCAGAATATTATCGCGAAAATATTCTGGAGGGTGTATTTAGGCATTGGGCACGCAAACATTTTGGCCGCAGACCTTGGACATTCCAAGAGGAATCAGCACCATCGCACTCAGCACGCGCCACACACGCGAATGGTACAAAATGAGGTTCCTCGCTTCATTTTCAGCGCACAATGGCCACCAAAATCTCCGGATACCAATCCGTTGAACTGTTGTGTCTGAAGTATTTTGAAAATCGACGTTGGCACTAAAAATACCAAAGTTTCGATCACCTCAAGCAAGCGCTTCGCCGGGAATGGGCCAAAATACCGCAGAGCAACTTTCGGGCAGCGTGTGACGGTTTCATTGGCCATTTGAAGACCATAATTCGTGCCAAGGTGACAAATTCGAACAAATCTACACTTATTCTAAAATTTGCTATTTCCAACATTTTTACATTCATTCAATAAAATTTAAAAAAAAAAAATAAATAAGAATTAAAATGTTTGACTTTGTTGCAGTTTTTTTATCTCACCCTGTACATTTATCTACATGCAAAATTTCAATATTCTAGCTTCAGCCGTATCGTCTGAGCGTTCATGAATCAGCCAGTCAGTCACAATATTGGTACTGTGCTACAAGATTTTGTAGAATTGAAAGTAGCTCTCTAGATTTCCATATATGAAATGACCTATAAAAATATTACTGTGAAACAAATTTTGATTTGCAAAAATTAAATCCATTCTGAAAATGGAGGGTGAAAAAAGAGAACAAACCGCCCATGTCGTTTTTTTAATTTGCTGTCAAATGTCGATTTTCTATAAAAACGCTTAACAAATGCGAACGTAAAAATGGTTAAATCGTGAAATACAAAAAAATGTTTTCCTCCGTCTTTACCCCGGGGAAAATAAATAATTCTTCGAAAATTACAAAAACCAATAAAATCTGCACTTTTTATTTGTTTGCATTCATTGATTTTTATTAAAGCTTTAAATTGCGCACCGTTTCGCACAGTTTCAAGCCAAAAATACAACATTTTAATAAAAAAAAATTGACTAGCTTGTAATACAGAGTTTTTAATATTCTTGAAATTGATAAGTGAAAGCAAACTTCGACGGTCGATTAAAAAATTCGAACTAACACAAAAAATTTACGGGTCCTCTATATTTTCAATTTTCCACCTTCTAGATTTTTTTATGCTTAAACTAATTTCGACTAGACACTCTTAATTTTAACATTTTTCGGTTTGTTAATTTGGCATAAATTTATATATTGTCATTTGTTATTACATATTATTTACATATTATACCATATTTTATATTATCTTTGCAGCCTAAGGCGGAGATTCTCGACCCTCTATGTACAATATTGTTTTCAATAATTGTCATAATGACAACAATAAACCTTTTTAAGGAGTCAATCTACATATTATTGGATTCAGTACCTCAGAGAGTATCATTGAATGATCTCGAAATGGATTTACTCAATATCGAAGGAGTCAAGTAAGCCTGAAATCATTTATTTTTAGAGGTATTTAAACAATGACTTTATTTATTTAAGATCTGTTCATCACCTAAACATCTGGAATCATACCTCCAATTATAGTATTTTAATGGTTCACTTAGTCATAGGTAAGCAAACACACACACAATCCCATTCATCCTTCATGGTAAATTATAAAATCCTTACTCTTTGTAATTTCGCTAACAGATTTTCTAGCCGACAGCAACACGGTCCTAGAGAAGGCCACACAATTGGCCAGCAATTCAAAGTACAAAATTAAACATAGCACCATACAAATAGAACGTGTTACCTCATAATTGATGTTGTTATAGACACAGCAAGTACATGTGGCCTGATGCCATTATGTATGTGTTAGCATCCCGTCATTTTTGAGCAAGCAGATGAATGAATTGTACAGAAACCCAAAATTATCCAGTGGGTTAGGAAAATGCTGACTGGTATCTCTATTCACCGCTTGTTCAAAATTAAAACCAAAGGAAACTATTTTAGGAAATTTACGCCTAAGTCATCAATATACGTACATATGTTATTTAATTGTTAAAACAGACTGGTTAATAGACAATGAATTTTAAATATATATTTTTTATAATGTCATATAATATAAGAACGTGACTGAAATACATACATGCACTCTAAAGAAAAAAGACAAATAAAAACACTTTAATACAAAAATGCAGCTAAGTTTGGCCGGGCCGTACTTTTAATTTTATTTTATTTTCCTTTTTGGAACAAATTTTGGAAATTAAGAAAAAAAATATGTATAAAATCCGTTTAAAATTCTGTTAAAATCTTAAAAATACCGAATATAGCCGTTTTATTGGGGTCTATACGAAAACGTGGACATGCATAAGCAACTTTTGTCATAAGCCATTACAATATTCAAATACGAAACATTAAAAAATGTAAAAAAGCAGTAAGTTCGGCCGGGCCGGACTTTGAATATCCTCCACCATTTGGAACGAATTAGGAAATTTTCAAAAAAATTAAATCAATTAAAAATTCTCTTAAAATCGTAAAAATACCGAATATCGTAAGTTGCCGATATATTGGGGTTATATACAATATTGTGGACCTATAGAGACAAATCTACGTCTGAAAAGTACTCACAATGAACTTCTTGTGTGGAATTTCAGACAATTCCATTGAGAAATGTGGTTAAAATCATCAAAATACCGAATATCGGGGGTACCGTTATATGGGGGCTATACGACATCGTGGACCACTATGGACAATTATCTTGCAGGGGGTGAAATACCCACAAGGATCTCCTTGTGTGGACTTTCAGACAATTCCATTGAAAAATGTGGCTAAAATCATCAAAATACACGACATCGTGGACCACTATTGACAATTATCTTGCAGGGGGTGAAATACCCACAATGAACTTCTTGTGTGGAATTTCAGACAATTCCATTGAGAAATGTGGTTAAAATCATCAAAATACCGAATATCGGGGGTACCGTTATATGGGGGCTATACGACATCGTGGACCACTATGGACAATTATCTTGCAGGGGGTGAAATACCCACAAGGATCTCCTTGTGTGGACTTTCAGACAATTCCATTGAAAAATGTGGCTAAAATCATCAAAATACACGACATCGTGGACCACTATAGACAATTATCTTGCAGGGGGTGAAATACCCACAATGAACTTCTTGTGTGGAATTTCAGACAATTCCATTGAGAAATGTGGTTAAAATCATCAAAATACCGAATATCGGGGGTACCGTTATATGGGGGCTATACGACATCGTGGACCACTATGGACAATTATCTTGCAGGGGGTGAAATACCCACAAGGATCTCCTTGTGTGGACTTTCAGACAATTCCATTGAAAAATGTGGCTAAAATCATCAAAATACACGACATCGTGGACCACTACAGACAATTATCTTGCAGGGGGTGAAATACCCACAATGAACTTCTTGTGTGGAATTTCAGACAATTCCATTGAGAAATGTGGTTAAAATCATCAAAATACCGAATATCGGGGGTACCGTTATATGGGGGCTATACGATATCGTGTACCTATATAGACAATTCTCTTTCAGGGGGTAAAGTGCTCACAAGGAACTCCTTGTGTAGAATTTCAGACAATTCCGTTGAAATATGTGGCTAAAATCATCAAAATACCGAATATCGAGGGGTACCGTTATATGGGAGCTATACGATATTGTAGACCGATGTAGTCCATCTTCGAACTTGACCTGCCTGCAGACAAAAGACAGATCTGTGCAAAAATTTTAGCTTCCTATCTTTATTCGTTTTGACTGTAGCGTGATTACAATAGACGGACGGACAGGGCTACATCTTCTTAGAATTTTACGCTGATCAAGAATATATATACTTTGTTGGGTCTAAAATTATTATTTCGATGAGTTACAAACGGAATGACGAACTTAATATACCCTACATACTATGTATGGTGGAGGGTATAAAAAATGCGGTGAACAATGTAGGTACCGTCATATTGGGGCTACACTAAGACCTGGACATGCATAGACAATTTTCTGCCTATTAGGAACTTCAAATACGAAATTTCAAGCAATTTCGGTGAATATTGTACCTAAAATATCAAAATATCGGGTGGTTTTTTTTAGAACTAACGGGATATTATACAAAATTTGTTAAAGACTACGCAAAAGTAGCACAACCCATTACAAAATACCTAAAAAAGGGAATAAAAATTAATACCAAAGATCCAACATATATTGAAATTAAAGTTACTTATCAACTCACGTCCAATTTTTAGATATCCTAATTTTGAGAAAAAGTTTACATTAACTACAGATGCATCAAATTATGCAATTACAAAATACCTAAAAAGGGAATAAAAATTAATACCAAAGATCCAACATATATTGAAGCCTATTGAAATTAAAGTTGCTTATCAGCTCACGTCCAATTTTGAGATATCCCAATTTTGAGAAAAAGTTTACATTAACTACAGATGCATCAAATTATGCAATTGGCGCTGTTCTTTCACTAGAAGGACATCCATTTTGTTTTGTATCTAGGACATTAAATAACCATGAAAGAAATTACTCAGCGACTGGTAAAAAAAATTCTTAGCTATACTATGGAGCGTAAATTATTTAAGACTGTACTTATATGGAAGGAAATTTTAAATATTAACAGATCATCAACCAATCAAATATTTACATTCTAAATATAAAGGAAAAGACATCTCTCCAAGACATCAAAGATGGTTACTTAAGTTAGGAGAATATGACTTCAACATAGATTATATTAAAGGAAAAGAAAATAACGTAGCAGATTTTTTAAGTAGAATTGAACAAAACAAAGATATTAACAATGAAGAGCATGATGAAATATCATCACAAACACATGATGAAATAGATATAGAAACAATTGAGAATATAATAAATGCTGTAGAAGAAAATTTAACCTTAGTAACAGTTCATTCAGCCGAAGAAAATTTAATGAATCATTTTGCTATAAAGGAAGATATAGTTAATAAATATAGGACTCAACTGATTATCACTAATAATAAAACGGAAGAATTAAAAACTATCCATGGAAAGAAAATAATTTTCATATCAGAATCAGATTTTGAAATAATGGGTGAAATATTTAGGAAATATGTAACAAAAGGAAAGGTAGGAATTTATTCTGAATTAAGCTATTCTAAATGCAATATTGTACAACAAAAATTAATAGATATGTTTTCAAATAATACGCAGTTAAAATTCGAAAAATTTACAATGAGAGCACAAGATATTGAAACTGAAGTCGAAGCCATAAAACAAATATCTTTATACCATATTAGAGAAAGTATACATTCTGGAATTATTGAGACATACAATAATATTAAAACTAAAATATATCATCCAAAATTACAAGAATTAATACAAGTTGTAATAAATCAATGTGATATATGTCAAGAAGTAAAATACGATAGGCATCCCATTAAAGCAAAATTTAATAAAACAGAAACTCCTACTAAAAATGAAATTATTTATATGGATACCAACGTAATGAAAGGATTCCATTTCCTTTCAATATTATACACAAAATGATAGAAATATTGTAACCATTATAGAAAAATTAGAGGAACATTTTATAAGAATAGGTAAACCAAAAAAGATAGTAGCAGATAATGAATTTAATTCCATAAGATTAAAAGAATTTTTACAAAATGAGAGCATCTTACAAAGCCAAACAGTCATACAGGAAATGCAGACATAGAGCGTCTACATAATACAATTGCAGAAAAATTTTGGAATCTTATACAAATGAAATAAAGACATACCAATTAGACAACTTATTCAAAGAGCAATTAGAAATTATAATGAGAGATATCATTCGGTAACAAAATATCCACCTAAAGAGATCCAACATGAGAAAGTCGATAAAATGAAAGTAAAAAAGAATATTGAAGACAATAAAATTAAAACAATAGATAAATTAAACAGATCTAGGAAAGAATATATAGAAAATAGAAAAGGATACATAAAGAAATATAAAGCACTCAGACATAAAGAGCAACCTAAATATAAAAAAGCAGAATTAAAAAATATTCATCCTATCAATATTAAACGACCATTAAAATTTACAGATCTGGGTAATCCTAATAATAATGACCCTGACACCAACAATACAAACAACAATGACAACAACACATTTGACTGAACAATCTGGATATATAGACATTAGTAAAAAACCACAAGACATAGTAAAGGAAACTGATATACTAGTACATATAATAAATTTAGAAGAAATTGAAAACATTGTAGAACAAATGAAAGAAAATATTATACAGTAACTTAATACAAGTTCCTGTCTGTTTCGAAACACACTTTTACTAATTTAGCAAAATAAGCAAATTTAGCGAATTAACTACTTGTTTGTGCCTAACGACTGCATTAGCTTCACTTGTGCATGCATGTTGTTGTTAGCTGTTTATGCCAGTTAACATTAAAAATATTAACATTTCTTGTAATAAACAAAAATAAGCATTTCCCACAATACTTGCATTAACACGAGCATCCGTTCTTATATCTGTTCTCACCAAAATTTGCTGACACCATGTCTGCTATCACATCAGGTGATTTCTTTGTAATTTAAGTAAACATAATCATAACCATAATGACAAATGTAACTATAAGTTTATTTCAGTTGTTAAATATAAATCAATAAAGGAGGTTCACTCCCATAAAACATAATAAAAATTATTTTTTTTTAATAAAATAAAGTTTATGTTTTATTAACTGGCACCCAACGTTCGAAAGTTATGTTTTATTAACTGGCGCCCAACGTTCGAGGGTTCAGCTAAGTGTATATCGCGATAAAACGGTGTTTCAAATTAAAAAAATTATGCAAAAAAATTAGTGAAAAATAAATGAAAAAATTAATTCAATAAAATAAAAAACAAAAAGTTTTTAATAAAGAACATATAAAGAAACTTCAGTGAATAATAAAATAACTAAAACATTCTATAACTTTAACAGGTGAAGAATATATAAATAAATCACTAACCGGCTAAAAAAATAGCAATAAAAAAAAAAAAAAATATATATATATATATATATATATATATATATATATATATATATATATATATATATATATATATATATATATATATATATATATATATATATGTATATATATATATATATATTTATTTATGTTTGAAAAATTAAAAATATATTAGTTACTTATAATGACTTAAACTCAAAAGAAATACATTTTAAATTTAAGAAAGAAATATAACTAATAACTCGTAACACAAAAAAAACAAATAATAATAAAAAAAAATTAAGATACGTAAGTGAAATTTAGTGAACTAATAAAATAACTAAAACATTCTAAAACTTTAACAAGTAAAAGACAATATAAATAAATCGCTAACTGGCAAAAGAGCAATAAAAAATATCAAGTGAATAAAAGAAACACCACTAATTCAAATTAGTTATTTGCTTCGACTTTAAACAAAAAAGAAAGTGAAGAAGCATATTACCGAACATTAAAAAAAATATCGTGACACAGCAACCCGGAACTCTAAATCTTGCAGTTTTTCAACGCAGGACATCCTCATAAGTGTCTGGAAGAAGATCCCAAGTAGCAGTCGCAAAAAGGGCAAAATCGGCACCAGCGGTGGGATGCAGCTTAAAATATTTATTTTTAAGTTCCAATTTTAGGACAATTATTAAACAATTTAATTTAAACATTATTAAATAACACAAGAAGAAAAGAATAATTTTCATTAAACTGAATATATAAAGAGACAATTCAAAACCATAATTATAAAAACAACCCTGGTAAATTAAAATAACGACTTATCAAATTCATACAAATAAAAATTTATTAAAATTAGTTTATAAGATTTAATTTTAAAATTTTCAGACAAGAAACGGACAATTCCAATCATATCTATTCCCAAATAACCAATCACGAAATGGCCAATTCCAACCTAACCCATTCCAAAACAATCAGTCAAGAAATAATCAATTCCAAATTAACCCATTCCAAAATAACCTACAACCACCACCTAGACCTTTTGCTCCTAAACCACCCCAACCAATGGAAGTTGACGACAGTATAAGAACTCGTAACATAAATTATATAAACAGACCAAGACCTATGCAAAACTTCCAAGGGAAAAGACCACCACAACAATCACTTCAAATTAGACCACCTCTAAAAGTGCAAAGAAATTTCCACACCGTGGCAAAACATGAAATAGAAGATGATCTAAACCAAGATCAAACCTTACAGGAATATATTAATAGTTCCCCAGAATATCAAGAAAACTTACAAAATTCTGAAGAAAGTTTCACAGATATTCATTTTTTAGGTTAACGCAATCCTTGTTACCCTATATTAGTTGTAGGACTAACGATGGAAAATTTCTCAAAATTCTTTTAGATACAGGTTCAAATAAAAACTACATTCAACCAATCCTATCAAACAACATTATCAAAAATGAAAACGAATTTTATGCTAATTCAATAGGAGGTCCTATCAAAGTTACCCACCATGTCTTTGCAAATCTTTTTGGAAATAATGAAACTCAAATAAAATTTTTTGTACTCCCAACTCTCAAATCTTTTCATGCCCTATTAGGGAACGACAGTTTAAAACAGCGTATTAGTAATAAGAGGTGGAAAGAAAATAAAAATAAACCAACAATATACTAGTGACGTAAATACTATAGGAATTAGAACCCAACATATGACTCTAGATCAGGAAAATGCAATCAGAGAATTAACAATAAAATACCCTAAATTATTTCTGGACCCGGATGAAAAATTGACATACACAACAATTGTGAAAGGCAAAATAAGAACTACATCAGACAAGCCAGTCTATTCTAGAAGTTACCCCTATCCTGCTTCATTAAAAGAAGAAGTGGAGAAACAAATTAACGAATTACTTGCAAACGGTATATTTAGACCATCAAGATCTCCATACAACGCTCCTGTATGGATAGTACCTAAAAAAACTAGACGCTTCCGAAAAAAGAAAGTTTCGCATGGTAGTAGATTATAGAAAACTTAATCAGATAACTATAGCAGATAGATATCCTATACCCGAAATATCCGATATATTGATGCAGTTAGGTAATAAAAAATGGTTCTCGGTTATAGATCTCAAAAGCGGTTTCCATCAAATCCCATTAAGACAAGAAGATATAGAAAAAACAGCATTTTCGGTTAATAACGGAAAATACGAATTCACAAGACTAACCTTTGGTTTAAAAAATGCAAATGCAATTTTTCAGAGAACACTGGTTGACATTTTACGCCAACAAATTGGAAAGATATGTTTCGTGTATGTAGATGACATTTTAATCTTCAGCGAAACTGAAAAAGAACACATAGAAAATATTGAGAAAATTTTCCAAACATTACAAAACGCAAATATGAAAGTGCAGCTTGATAAAAGCGAAAATTAGAAGCAATAAAAAACTTTCCACAACCTAAAGCAATAAAAGAACTTAGATCCTTTTTAGGCCTGTCCGGTTATTACCGTCGCTTCATTAGAGATTACGCTTTTTTAAGAAGGGAGGAAGGCAACCTGCCAAAATCTCAATCTAAAAAACAAGTAATTTCTCCCAATAGCCAAGCAATAGAAGCTTTTAATAAGCTAAAGAATTCCTTAATCAGTCAAGACGTAGCACTAGTCTATCCCGATTTTAAAAAAGAATTTGAACTCACCGCTGATGCATCAAACTTTGCGTTAGGTGCGGTATTATCGCAAGACAATAGACCAATTGTTTTTATATCCAGGACTCTAAGAAAAACTGAAGAAAAATATGCTACAAATTAAAGAGAAATGCTCGCTATAATATGGGCATTAGAAAATGTAAGAAATTACCTTTATGGATCTGCTAAAGTAAAAATAATTACAGACTACCAACCTTAGCAATAAAAATACTAATAGTAAGCTTAGAAGATGGAAAGCTACCCTTGAAGAATATAATTATGAACTGCAATACAAACCAGGAAAAACTAATGTTGTTGCAGATGCACTTTCAAGAGCACCACAAATAAATTCACTAACACCAACGCAGCATAGCGACGAAAGATCTTCTGAAAATTTGATACAATTTTCCAACTCTCCCATAAATGTTTATAAAAACCAAATATTTCTGCTTACTGACGACATTCCAACTTACAAATTTGAAATAATTTTTCCCACGTATATCTTAATCCATCAGCCATAAACGGCATTCACACAGATGAACGGAACATACATAATTAGATATCAAAATACATCGATAACAATCGGAAATCAACATTATAGTCTCACTGAGACAATCCTTTACAAACCATTACCTGCGATGATACATTTACCATCTACAAACTCCTTTGAAAAAACACTTTCTTTACAAAGTTTGAAGCAACTTCACATTAATAATACATCAATAACAAAATTAATAAAAAATAAACAAATTATTGGATTTGCAACAAGTTTTACATTAATTATAATTTTGATCATAATACGTTTTTTAAAATTGCTAAATCAAAAAAAAAAATGCAAATATCAGCTCCTTTTCAAATAATTGATAATAACCCTGCTTTCTTTATAACGAACGCGGGCGGAGGAGTTAACATTAAAAATATTAACATTTCTTGTAATAAACAAAAATAAGCATTTTTACAATACTTGCATTAACACGAGCATCCGTTCTTATTTCTGTTCTCACTAAAATTTGCTGACACCATGCCTGCTATCACATCAGGTGATTTTTTTGTAATTTAAGTAAACATAATCATAACCATAATGACAAATGTAACTATATGTTTATTTCAGTTGTTAAATATAACTCAATAAAGGAGGTTCACTGCCATAAAACATAACAAAAATTATTTTTTTAATAAAATAAAGTTTATGTTTTATTAACTTGCCCAACGACTCTATTAGCTTCACTTGCGCATGCATTTTGTTGCTTCTTGTTTGTGACCTAACGGGATGTTGTTTTTTTGATGATGCTGATGATTTGACACAAACAACAATGAGGGACAATCGACCAGGCAAGGAAATAACGAGGTTGTCTATTTAAGGCATGGATTAATTTATAAATTCATCTATATATTTGTAATTCAACAAGAACCATAACAATTAAAAAATAGAATATAATTCAAGTAATAAAATATAAAAAATAAATTTAACAAAAAGAAAAAAATAAAAGTCCAAGCTGTGTGGACGAAAACGAAGCTGCAACTTCCGTCATAACACTACTCCCTCACCTCGGAGACAGCGTCATTACTGGGGCATAATGATGACTTTTCCCTGGCGGTTAATCAATAGCCAAAACCGCATAGCATACTTCCACGATCCTCTAAAATTGCTTTCCTCGAAAATGTAGCTCGAGCGCCAAGCGTATATGCCTTTGTAGTCTCTGTTTGATATCCTCCGGCAGATTCTCAGGACAAGAAAATTCATAAGCGTTGGGCCGGAATTCGGGCACCACCACCACACTGCGCAATCTCGTATCGTCGACCTCGTCACATGTGGGAATTAGCCGGGGGTTCAACCGGAAACCGCTTTCCTCCGTTTTCGACTCGGTGGAATAGGCATATCGTGGTGACGTGGCGACTCGTGGAGGGCTTTAAATTATACAAATGGTTTCTTCCTCCGAGCTTTTGCCTTCCCTGGGATGTTCCGTTACTGACGGGGCAAGTTCCG